AGAGCTCATACTAGCGCTCACACTGGCTGCCTTTTCGTTACGATAGCCCTGTCAGAACGGTACGAAAGCTGTGTAAAAATCTATACGAAAGCTGTGTAAACTCGATGGAAAGGCTTTGTAGAAACGATACGAAAGCCTTGTAAAGTTTTCATACGAAAGTCCTGTCAAAATTTGATACGAAAGCAATGCATTTCTATGAATTTTTACAGGGCTTTCGTAACCTACCGTTACGAATCGTTACGTTCCCAACACGAGATCAAATAATACATTAGATTTAATAGATTTATTTATTTATTTTTTGTTGAAGATGATAATCAAGGTTATGGTGATTATCATTATTATTATCGAAGATAAACATTCTAGACCACGACCCACTTTATAGAAGAAATGATTTAAATAATAATTATGAAAAACGAAAATAATTCTAAACGATAGAAATTCAATAAAAGTACAATCATTTATAATATAAGATTATTCTTTAGATAACGACTAATACAACTAGAACACACAAATGTTATTATCAATCATTTATTTATCATTTAAAATAAAACAGTTATTTATATTCTTTTGTTAAAGAACTAAATATGATATTATTTATATATTAACTCTTATGTAATCATTCTAAATATCTAATCAAATAAATAATTCTAAAACGAAAACAAAATCAGGTAAAATAAATCAATTGATGAATATCGATCACCATCACCATATTCATCTAATATCAGTTTATCAATCAATCGATATTCAACAATTAACAAATAACAATAATGATATTTATTATTTTATTTATCAATATTAACACTGATATTAATTATGAATTTGATACGAATGAGATTGATCTTATAAAATATAATTGAAATAACAAAAATATTTATCGTCATAGGGCACCAACACCAACACCAACACCAACACCAACACCAACACCAACAATTATTTCTTATCTTAAAAAAAAGAAAATCTATTTAGAAAATGATTTATTCCAATGAGACTGATTAACGATCGATCACCTCCAATCAATTTAACCAACTCGAATAACAAGATGATGAACGATCGTTTTCTTTAACGTTCCTCTTTATCATTCGTTTATTGTCAACAAGATTGTTTAGTTGATATCAATAATTGAAAGAGTTATTTATTTATTTCAAATTTTTACAAATAATATATGAACATATATATAATAATCGATGATTGAAAACAAATTATTGGACAAATATGTTCACTAATTTGTTGCAGATTGACCTTTGAATTAGATTTTTCTATTATTTATCAATATAACTTAAAACATTTTTCTAATCTCGAACTAGTCAGATGAGAGATGATAACCATGAAAATAATGTTCGAATGGAGAATATTTATCTGTTTTTACTGCTAGACTCTTATTTACTATATAGAGAATATTATTGAATGTTTTTTCGATAGAATTAAAGATAAAATTCTTCTTGACAAACGTTCTATAAGATTGGCGAGTGTTTAAATTGACATTGGAAATCTGTGTTTTCGATAAAAATCGAGCTAGATAATAATTAATAAACGGATTGTTATTGATAAATGGTTGCTCTTTCATTTGATTGACTCTTGTTCTAATAGAATATTTTCAAATATTCTCATATTCGTTTAAAACGTTTTATATCCTATAAACTCTAATTGAATATATTTTATTTTCTATTATAAACATGGCTACTAGTTTTCATCAGATACTAAAGGGTGGTCAGAAAGTTTCGACCCCTCTCAGTAAATCGATGATATCTACAACAAACTTAGATGAAGTTATCGATCAAATTACGTCATTTTGTAGAGGAAGAAAAGAGCTATCATCTGAAAACAAAATAGTTCGAAATACATAAATCTATTTAAATGTTATGATCATTTTACTAATCTTGAGTATAAATTTTTACGTTACATTTTTTGCAAAAACAAAGAAATTCTTTAATGTTTGAGTCATTAAAGTCGAGTGAAACACTGTGTTCTATATGTTTTTACTGGATATTCTTATATGATTCGATAGAGTTCGAAAAGCTCTACAAGAATATGAATATCAAAAAAAATTCTGATGCTACTTCCAATACAAAACTTGAAGGAAACCAGAAAGACTAATAAAAATCTCACATAACTTGCATAAAAAAGTATGCCTGATTTTCAATAACTCTGGCTGATCGACTGTTAATTTATATTTCGAGATGCACCGTCACATACTGAAGCTGAAAATAACGTTTCGGAACTTCATGAGCATACGAAACAGTCGATTAGCTGAAGTTATTGAAATTCCAGCATACTCTCTCGAATGCGACATATGAAATTTTTATTAGTCTTTCTGATTTCCTTCAAGTTTTGTATTGGAAATAGCATCAGAATTTTTTTTGATATTCATATTCTTGTAGAGCTTGTCGAACTCTATTGAATCATATAATAAATGCGAAAACCTCGGATTTAAATCCGAGTGTTATGTGTACTTCAAAAAGTGAAAAGGTACATTCACTGTGCTTTTTATCACTAAATTGCAAGGAGAAAATACAGACGTGCTAAG